ATATATATATATATATACATACATATATATATATATATACATACATATATATATATATATATATATATATATATATATATATATATATACATACATATATATATATATATATATATATATACATATATATATATTATGATACAAGAAAATTCCTAACAAATAGTCATAAAACCTGAAGCAAATCAACTTCAGCAAATTCCTCAGCAAAAATTCTTCTCAAAAGTGATAAAGATCTTTCTTATTGTCTCTCTCTCTCTCTCTCACTTGATTTTATCCAAAGTGCATATATCCTAGCTTACTGGACAAAGGTATATAAACTCATGCAGAGGGTGGATGGGAGTCATTATGGAACCCTTGTCCCCTGCAAGGCCATCACAAGGACACGAGAGAGTAAAGTCAACTCAGGAGGGATACTCGGGTGCCATTAAAGTCGTCCTATCGACAATTCTACATGGAGACTGCGACCTCTCTGCACTACAGTTGCATTCTTGTTCGGGCCGACCTTCTAAGAGTTGGATTGCATTGAATATTCATTGCTCTTGTTGAAATCCAAGTGATGCTTTTCACAACAAAGATGTGATCTAGGCAGGCATCAAATAAGCCAGAAGATCTCCACAATAAGTGCAATGATCCACAAGCAGAAAAAGACATCACTTAAAGGAAACAAAAAAAAAAAAAAAGGACAAGACTGAAGAGCAGAAGAAGAAAGAGGCCGCCTTCTTCTTGCTCGTGGCTTTCACGACAAAACTCGTCGTGTAGAGATTGCAGTGAACACGACCTTGTTGCTTTGCAGAAAAAAAAGGGGGAGGGGAAGCTCTCACGAGTTTTCGCACCCGAAAAGGATGGATACCAAGAATGAACTGCACGCATGCGGATCCTGCAGATGCAAATCATTCTTCACGTCGGACTTCCTTGGCCGAAGTGGACAAGGGCGTGCATAAAGTCAAATTCGAGAACGATTTCTCGGTGTTCCTCAATGCATGAAACGATAAAGTTGAAATTTACTTTCGAGATTTCTTTTTCCTTCTCTGATTTAAACACTTTACTTTCTTATTGATGAAACGAGGTGTCGACTGAACTCGTCAAGAATATAGTCAAACCTGGAGGCACTGATGCTGGCTGGTGCTTTGGAATTACCACAATGCGATGTGAGTAATGGTTCAGTAAGGCGCCTCATCAATCGTAGTTGCTTGGTTTGACCTGCAATTCTGGGTGGCTTAGTGGACAATGACTTGCGTTACAGATGGAAGGATTAGAAGAAGGGAGAGGGAGAACTTGTTGTCAAACACTCTATCGGTCCACGACTCTCAAAACACATGGGCACATCAGTCAGCGGTGGATCGATGTCTTCTCTCACCTTCCTCTTAAAAGTAATTACCGATAGAAGACTTGTCTCTGTTTCCTTCTTTGCTCGTCTGTTGTGGGTGGTAATAAACTTGGTTCCACGGCTGAAGCTTCGTAGCTGGCGAGTATACAAGATCACTTTCATGGCCCCCCTCACAACACGGGAATTAGGACGTTAGGTGTCATTTACAGAGAGCTGCTCCCTCTTGTATTAATTCCAGCTCCTGTCAGTGATATCACTGTTCCCCGTGCCCACAGCAACAGCATCTTCCTCTCTCTATCTCTCCCCCAACTTATTGCGTACTCCGTGCATCATCCTCTATCAATCACTTGCATTAAATGAACCACCAAACTCCATTTGCCTGTTAATCCAACCACAACACTATGCAACCCAATCCTTTATAAATGTCCTCGCTGTTTGCCTGCTCAGTTATACCTTGAATCTTGTGTGCCGGTTGGCCATCCGTGTTCTCGATTAATGCTTCCTCTCCAGCATCTACAGTACATGAGAAGAATATTACTGTTGGCCTTCCAACGAAGGAGAGAGAAGCCTTCAACTCCGCAAAGGAATACCAGGATTGCAGGTTTTAACTTCCAGTTGTTCTTTGTGGATCAATTGAGTGGATGTTAGGGACAAGGACATACATGGAGGCTCAACGAGAAGGCGATCCTACGCGTTTTCTCCATGATGGGTCATTGACCATGAACAGGGTAGGACTTTGCCAGATAGCAGGGAGTGGGGCAGCCGATGAGGACTCTGCAAACACATAAGCTGCTGAAGAATCATGGCAGAGTGGTGACAGATGAGAACGAACAACAACTTTTCTTTTCTTAACATTATTATTACTTCTTACTTTTGCTGCTTACAGAGATTGTAAATTTTTGGTGCTGAGATGTGGAGGAAAGTGGTGATGACTACTTGTCATATATAAACCAAATTAATCAAAGAATAAAACTCATAATTGATGATATTAAAATCAGACGTGACAAAGTGATCAATCCCCAACCTATTCAACCATGCGGAAAGTTGGACTTGGGAGGAAAAGTGTAGCAATCAATCTCATAATCATGACATAAATGAAGCGTCATTTCTTGGAATGATAGAATGTTCAAGTCTCATTCACTAATCTCTCCTAATAATATAAAAAAAACATGCAGCTATATGTATATATGTATACATATATATTGTTTGTATTTCTAGCCTACATGGATCTAATCATTGATGCTGGCCAACCCGCGAATTAAATGTGTAATTCTATGACCATGAGAGTATGTTTCTACTCAATTGTGGTGCATGAAACAAAATATACGGTGATTCAGGGTTTTAATACTCGCATTTGCAGGCTTTTCACGGGATGAGGGTTCAATTAAGGCATTGGTAGGTTCGGCCGAGGCCAAGCCGACGGTGGCTCCACCGCCAGTGGAAATGCCAGATTGCAGCAAACATGCATGCGTGGGGTTATGTTTGAAGTACCCGAGTGTAACACTGGAAACATACGAGAGGAGGAATCTTACAAAGCAAGTCCAAAGCTCTCATTTACAACAGCAGTATTTTCAGAACAAGAACTAAACCATTCCCTTCTCTCTCTCTCTCTCTCTCTTTCTCTCTCTACCTGGTATTGATTAGGCTTAGTGGATGGAGACAGCTTCGAGCCAATCCTCACACTATGTCGTATGTCTGACTCATTTTTCTTCTTATTTGTTCGTCACAGTACTTAGGCCGCTAATAGTGTGGTAATTAATACAAAGAAATGAAAACTCCATCGCGATCGTGATCTACAGGTTCACAAGAATAAGGAATTGTTGATCACTGCCAAAGTAAAGAATGATCGAGATTGTACCCACGCAATCATAGGGTGGGTTACGAACGAGGCTTCATGGAGTGGTTTGAACGTGTGAAACGAATCCGTTTAGTTGGTGTGCTTGAGAGAGAAAGCTCAATGACTTAACATGCTCCAGTAAAGACTTAAATCATATATATCAAGGCTCTTATCCTCTGATTTCTTCTTCACCTTACTGTCACTATATAGTTACTACTGCTGTTGGCCAGGTTCTTCCTCTCCATCCCTCAGGACTTTGGCCTCTTTGGTGCTCATTCGTTGTTCTTTATTTAATGTATCTCTTAGTTTCCTTTCCAATTTTGTGATCATCTATAGATCTCGGTGGCTTACTACTTCCTCTTTCTCGCGAGTTCCCCCTCTACTCTCTGCCGACCCAACCTCTAACCATGGCAGATCCCTTCACTAATTTCTTTAAGGTTATCCAGACCCACTATCTTTTCTCCGGCAACCCATCGCCGCCACCAGTTGCCATCACCTCCGACTTGTACCATGGACACACCAACACGTACCTGCCTCCCCAGACTCCCTCTCCCCCTCTGAGAGAGGCGCTCCCTCTCCTCAGGCTCAGCCCCTCGAGGCACCAAGGGAGGGAGGATAACAACTCTTGCACTGCCTTTGGTGAAGGAGGGAAGGACAAGGCCATGGTGACGGATGGAGAAGTCGACGCTGATGCTGTGACCGTTGCTCTCCACATCGGTCCTCCCAGCCCATGTGCAGTTGATTTGATATCGAGAATATCTTCGACTTCAGAGGATAATATTGGACGCAAGGAAGGAGAAGGCAGCGATGACGACGACGACGATGACGACGACGATGTGGTTCCCTTAGGGTACCCGTCCAATCCCATAGGAAGGATTAACAAGGGACAGTATTGGATTCCCACCCCTTCTCAGATCCTCCTTGGTCCGACCCAGTTCTCTTGCCCCGTTTGCTGCAAGACCTTCAATAGATACAACAACATGCAGGTAACCTTTTGCTCCAGCTCATTACCATGTTCTTGTTTCAGATACCGATCGGTTTCTGCATTTCCTCCTCATGTTGAAGCGATGTGCATCACTTATCCCGAGTCTGGCCTAAGTAGGACTGAGATGGATATTGTGTAGCACCTCTCCTTTTAATGTGATTGAACTTGACATAGTCTAAGTTACGATCATGCTTTTTGTGCTTTTGGAGTTTGTTGATAGATGGTGCGTTGGAAGTTGAAATAACACTGAAAAGATTTCCAGTCCTTTCAGAATTCAGGGTACCTTTGTAAAGAAAGATAAAAATATTCTGCACCACCAGTCACTGAATCAGGAACTCTTCTAACACAACTTCGATTTTACTTAGATATGTATGGGCTGCATCTCCCAAAGTTGAAAGATGATCTCTCTCTCTCTCTCTCTCTCTCTCTCTCTCTCTCTCTCTCTCTCTCTCTCTCTCTTTCTCTCTCTCAGTGTGAGAATGTGATACCTCATGCAGTGGATCTTTTATTTTATTTGTTAGATCTCATCCCTCGAGTTCTTTGACCGGCAGGCAAAGTTGCCAACAGTACAAGCGCAGCAGCAACCAAAAGATGAGTGCAGTCTTTTACCACCACAATTCTTCCAGAGGCCCCTCTTGTGTCAGGAAGAATAATTCTATCTTCATACAAGAGAGAACATATTCAAGAGTATCAAACAAAAAGAATTGCCCATTCGCTTACTCTCTTTCTCTCTCTCTCTCTCTCTCTCTCTCTCTCACTCTCTCCTTTCTTTCTCCATCTGCTAATAATAACCTCAACACTCTAAACGTTTGTACGTGTCAAGAAGAAACTAGATCTGCTACCTAAGCTGGTATCCATATCGAAGCACATCTTTCCCAGGCTTTCATATGTTTTCTCTTAGTTAACTGTTAGATCTCCGTGGAAGTTCTCTCCTGAAGTAGCTATCATTAGAAAACCATGATTCATGATAAGAATGGCACCAGCTTCTTAACTCCTTTCATCTGGTGACACTCTACGTGTAACCACAGATGCATATGTGGGGTCATGGATCACAGTATAGGAAGGGGCCAGAGTCTCTAAGAGGCATCCAGCCGACGGCGATGCTGAGGCTTCCATGCTACTGCTGTTCCCCCGGTTGTCCCAACAACATCGACCATCCCAGATCGAAGCCATTGAAGGACTTCAGGACCCTCCAAACTCACTACAAACGGAAGCACGGAATCAAGCCCTTCATGTGCCGGAAGTGCGGCAAGGCCTTCGCCGTTCGGGGTGACTGGAGGACCCATGAGAAGAACTGCGGCAAGCTGTGGTACTGCATCTGCGGCTCCGACTTCAAGCACAAGAGGTCGCTCAAGGACCACATCAAGTCCTTCGGGCGAGGGCACGCCGCATACGGCATCAACTGCTTGGAGGAGGAGGAGGAGCCGTTGTCGGAGATCGAACAAGACGGCGTCCAATCCCACAAGGGAAGGTAACAACATGGTCTTAGTGATGATGATCGATCGAACTGGCTCTACGGTTAAATTTGGTATTGGTGTACAATTATATCATGCCAAGATACAAGAAACAATGTGGGCATAATAATAATGCCTGGTAAATGGAGAGTCGTGCATCGTAGCATCTCTTTTGCTTCATGCTTGTTTTATGTTTCCTAGCTTAATGGATTGCTGTTCTTAAGCCTGCTCAAGTTAATTAGCATGTATATACCATCATTGTTACTTTCTTGCTCTGATTTGCTCATTCCTCGCATGCACTTCAGACTTCTCACTGCTTTACGTATGTCAATAGTTTTTGTTCTTTTAATTCTGAAATGGTGTGTGAAATTTGCTTTGGTTGATGAAAATTAACATCACATTTTTTTTTTGCTTTTTCACTTTATTATTATTATTATTTTTTATATATTTTTTTCTGAATAGAACTGTCTCGAAGCTTAGTGTTGCACGAAACATGCATTTGTTTGTCTATCCCAGATTGAGTAACATCAATATAGCTTTTCTCGAATACGTTAAAAGGTTATGGGTGGTCCAGCGTAGCACCCTTTGGATTGAGATGCAGATTTGCCCACCTTCATGATTATTGTTTTCTCTTCTTCTTTTGCCTACCAACACATGAAACTAATAAAAACACTTCTTGCTTCGATAGGCAATGTCAAACTTATGCAATTTTGATAGCTAGACAGATAACTATGAATGATAATGAAAGGATAGCAAAAGATCTATACAGCCGAACGAACCCCACGGATTAGAGGATCACAGCTACTTCTTAAACCTTTCACTTCATGTCCATATCTCACATGCTCTTTGCACAGAAGAATGAAGCTATTTGCAAGTTCATTGACTTCAGCTAAGGAGACTCGAGACAGTGATGAAGCAGCAGCTGTGGATCCAAGTGGCTTTGATGATAACAAGGTTCATCTAAAACATATCGAGAAGGACTTCGACACAGAGAAGGAAGAAGAAGAAGAAGAAGATATATATAGGACAGAGTTGGGAAAATAAGGATATACGTGAAAGTAGATGAAAGATGAGACTCGGATCAAACTTAAGTTGGAATAGTTCGTTTCCCGACCCACTCCAATCTCTTCTGGATCAACCAAAATTTCATCTCTAGGTATAAATTTCTCAAATAGAAGAACCGTTGAGAAAGCTGTTCGAATCTTTCTTTCTTTCAGCAAACGCAGTGTTTTCACTTACTTTCCTATGATCTGCATGCATACCTGTCAAATAGATTGATTAATCTCCCAAGGGTTGCAACTCCATGGGGTTTATATGTAGAAACTGCAGATAGATGATGCTTTGGGTTAATTAGTGAATGTATCTGTGATGGAGTATGTTACTTGTGCCAATGAGATATATTTCTACATGCACGTCTGCCTTCAAATAGCAAATAACAAGTAGTCATGCTACACATGTTAAACAGTACATATCAATGTAGATATGTTGTAGCATATCAAGGTTTTTGTGCATATCGAATGCATCGTGTATGCCTTCTTTTACAAGTTGTCTAAAAACTACAGCGATAGGAATTTGTCCGTAAGAGGTATAATGTCAAGTCATTTCAACCACAAACAGGCAATCATCTGTATGTCTGTACTGCTGTAGTGGGTTATCAGCATGTAGCTGTACCGAATGCACCAGCACAGTTTGGCTTCTTCTTTCTCCCTCTCTCTCTCCCCTTTAACGACAGTGAAAAGCCTTATATTTCTTTTATTTGCAGTGATGTTCTCTATTCATACAAAAATTATAAGAAGCGAGATTTAGGGTGGAATCTATTGCGTGGTACGCGTAAATGTCGACAACAACACATGAGATATTGAGTGTCGTGATCCAACAGCCCATATGAAGTATGAATGCTTCATGTTATACAAAATAGTAGTAACAAAACTTTTAACAGTGACATGGTTATTATTATATATAATATTCATATACATGTGAGATGAAGAAAGATAAACTAAGAAAATAATGTTTTAGGATTAAAAGAATTAGATCACATACATAAGATTTGGTGCACAACTTAAATATTTAAGTTTTTAGATTTAATTGATATAATATGATATATGTGAAAAACACTTGATAACTTAAAATTTTAAGTTTATGAGCTAATTAGCATCTAATATGATATATGTTAGCCCCGATCAATTAAAGAATTTTCTTTTGATTCCGCTATTATACAAACTAAAGTTGCAGCGCAATATGAAAACCATAAGATCTCTATGTGTTTTTTTTTTGTATAATTAAATGGAATTTAAGACAATGGGGGAATTAATTGCAAACTACTTTCGACTGTCTGCATACAAATTTGCATCTTAAAGGAGATTAAAAGCACATGAATATATATTGCTTCATTGAATGAATACATTTAGTACTTTATTCAGGTGGTCAAACTAATGGCTGCTTTCAAACACTTTTTGACTGCCAAAGTCTTCTCAACTGCGTAGGATTGGTAGTCATGCTCATCAAAATTACGCTTTGTTTCTCCAAAGGAACGACTCGTGTATCCATATATACAAAAGAGAGTCTATAAGGATGGGGACTCAATTCTAGCATCTCAAGATTAATTTGGGACATCATAAATCAAAATTTAATGTTTTTTATTTTTTTTACAAAGGTAAGTCATGAAGATAATAGAACTTTATGATGATCTAATAAAATTTGTACCAACCGAGTTCGCTGATAAAAGTTTACGCATCAAAATTCAACTTTATTGAACATGATTTTCCATGCTTCAAAGGCCTAGAAACCAGATGCTTTGCAGTAGAAGAAAAAATAATAGCTTTAATGATATAAAAATATTTTTGGTCTGACAACATAGAATGATAAAGATTAGACTTAAAACAGTGTAGGTCTCAATTTTGCTACATGAATGATTATTCATTGGTAGTAATTTGGTGAACACACGCAACAAGTGTCCAAATCAAAATACAATTTTGTTTTCTAATGTTTTGAGCATCACATACTGTGTTTGAACTTATTTTAGGTTTGGAGCTTTCAGGATTGATTTTGAGACGATTGAATCCAATCTTCCCAATTGGAAACTGGCTAAAAATCTATGCAAAAGGACATATGCGTGTAAGTATGTATGCTTTCTTGATGAGTTTGATAATTGAGCTCATGATTCCCATAACACCAAATAAAAGAATCGCTAGGAGATATGTGGTTGTTAATTGTTTATTATATGTTAATTTGGATATTTTAAGCTGCATTTGCTCCATCATCCTCATGATGTAGATGGCAGACGAAGGCTTTCGTATGTGTGTGTACACTCTGCAAGGAGAGAGAGGTTGCTCTTTAATCCAGAACTGTGAGGAAGGAATAAAAATCCACTGGATATTTACAAGACCAAAACCAAGAAAATAGGGAGTGACATGTAGAGACCCAATATATAATAATAGTGTATCTTAATGAAAGTCTCAGTCAGCCTAGTTGGTAAGTACAATTGGTGTTATTATTATATTTAATATTTTAAGAGATGCTTGGTTGACTTTCTTTTTTGATTTTCTTCGTGAATGAAATAGAATAGAGTGCTCCTTATTTTCACTTACCGAGAGTACATATACAAATTATATTCATTTATTGTATGATACATAATGAATTTAACATAATTACCTTGATTGAGTATTTGTCAGGTTAAACAATATTCTTTTTTAGCTCTGACTTTATTGTGTATCCTCAATGACTAATTACAAACAATTATATATATATATATATATATATAGAGAGAGAGAGAGAGAGAGAGAGAGAGAGAGAGAGAGAGAGAGAGATTTGTGAACAAGGCAGGGTAGACCTTTTATTAAGAAGGTAAAGGACACGTCTTCTGATGACTACTATGATTGGACAATGATGCATGCACAACAAAAAGTTAGGGACCACCACGACTCTACACAGACGACGACGACGACGGCCACGGCTAAGAGATGGCGATAGATGATCGGGTTGCTCTTCCTGTGTGACTCCTCCGTAGCTCGTGCACTATGCTTTGATTGCTCAGAAGGATTCAGGTAGAGATGAGACACGGTAGCCCACATACCGAGATCTTTAACATGTACTGATTGATGCATCGAGCACGTCTCTCTTCTCAACAAGCGACTCTCGAGCTGGGTCGGAAGAAGAAATGAGGCATCTGACTTGGAAAGCAGAGCTTTGGAACAGAAGCGAATCTTTTGAGTTCGTGGAGGTTCGCGTCTCCGTTGTTCGGGGAAAGAAGGGAGCCTCAAGAGTCGGGCGGGAAGACGGAATCGGAAACACGTGATCAGATTCTGATGACATCTCAGAGCTGCTGCTGCTGGCTTCAGTTCGGGGACCAGAGGAAGAAGAAACAAGACGAGGGGCTTCCCTGACCCCACCCAAAATTCTCTCACACTCAATAAAGCTTCAAAATGAAGAGGACAATGCCGGGAAACTCTACTATATATGTCACAGGTATTGCCTTCCGATAAAGAGAAAAGTGATGCTGCCACGGATAACTTGTTCCGTAAAGCTTTTGAGGTTTGCAAGAAACGATCGGACGAGGGAATGAAGGGGAAGCAAGTAAAGTTCAAAAAGGAGCGACAGATGTTTTGGGTTTACGAAAACAAAGCATATGTCGTCATCTCTGTCTCCACCTTTGCCTTTATCGGCTCTTCTTTTCATTGTGAGAGAATATACTCGTCCTCAGGTGTGGTGTGGTGTGGTCCAAGAAAAGGAAACATCAGCACGCCGATGAATGATTGGATTCTCCGTTGGCCCCACTTTCCTTCGCAGCGCATCAACCGAACAATCAGGATCGTCTGATCGACGGCACATGGGTCGGACTGTGCGGTCAGAATTTGTCCGGATCCAGGACAGTATGTTTCAGACCGGGCTGTACCAGTTCCAACCGTCCGGTGGACCTTAGTCGACTCGACCAACCCTACCCATAACCCAACCCGTGTGTCGTCTTTGGGACCGTCGTGGGTAACTCGGTGTATCTCCACAGAAGTATGTGCGGGGGATTAGACCATTCCTTGTGCCTCGTGTTGACTGTGTCCGAGCGACTGACGAGCGTTCAGCGGAAGCCATGAATGCCCCGACAGAGGCAACAGCAGTGCAGCGACTGCTCCGTCGTCAGTCGTGAAAGCTGCTGAGCGTTTGGCCACAAAGCCTGATCTGATTCCGGGGGAGTACAAACGTCTTCGGACTGGAATCTTTTGCTACCAGTGATGACATCTGCTCAGAGGCTTTCCTTGGTTGAATTATCTGAGTGAAACATGAT